TGGCCGCGCCCCGCTCCCCCGCGAGGCCCGCCGACGCCGGCTCCCCGGGGCGCGCGGGCGCCCGGGCGGCGCAGCAGCCCCTCTCGGCCCGCAGGGCGGCGCCCGCGCGGGAGCGCGCCGGGGCCGTGCCGGCCATGGCGCCCTGGCTCGCGCGGCCGGGGCGGTCGTCTGCGCCGGGCGCCGCGCGCGACGCCGGCCCGTGGCCGCGCGAGCTGCTCGCGGGCGCCGCGCCAGAGCGTCTGAGGCTGCCGCACGGGGCGCGGCCGGCGCAGCCCCCGCGCTCGGACCTGCGGCTGGCGGCGAAGGTCGGGCCTCTGCAGCTTCATTCGGCTCGAGCCTCCGCCCCTGATCTTTGCACACTCCGTCATGGTTTGCTCTCGCTCGTTTTCAATCTCCCCCTCCTCTTTCTCCTCCCGCGCTCCTCAGCGAGGCGCGGGTCCGTGCCATCCCAGCTCAGATTCAGGCCGAACGAAAGGGGGGATGGGGAAAGGGGGGGTTACGAAATCTGCTACATGCAGCTGTTTTCGGCCCCGCCGCCGGGCCCATTCGTCGATACATGGGCGCCTCCCCGCGCCGGCAGGCGCTGGGAAAATCAGCTGCGTGAGCTGATTCTCCACCCTAGAGAAGACGGCCTCGGAAGAGGCCGTTCAGGGACGGCCTAGAGAAGACGGCCTCTTCTCACCCCTCCGTCCACCTCACCCCTCCGCTGGGAAAATCAGCTGCGTGAGCCTCAACGGCCTTTTCTGTCCCCCCCTTCCGTTCCCCCCGAGAAGGTCAACGAGACGTTCCAGGCGTCGCTCCGGAGCTGAGGAGGTTCCTGCGTCGGGCGGCGCCGCCCGGCGAGCGCACAGAGAGGAGGCCACGCGCCCGCTGAGGAGGCTCATCCGCGTCCTCCCGCCTCCCTCTTCCTCCATCCTTCCTCGCCCCCCCGCCCGCTGCTCCTCCCGCTCCTCCTCCCGCTCCTCCTCCCCCTCCCGCTCCCGCTCCCCCTCCCGCTCCTCCTCCCCCTCCTCCTCCTCCTCCTCCTCTCCTCCTCCTCCTCCTCCTCCTCCTCCTCCTCCTCCTCCCTCCTCCTCCTCCTCCCCTCCTCCTCCTCCTCCTCCTCCTCCTCCCCTCCTCCTCCTCCTCCTCCTCCTCCTCCTCCTCCTCCTCCTCCCTCCCCCCTCCTCGTCCTCCTCCTCCTCCTCCTCCTCCTCCTCCTCCTCCTCTCCTCCTCCTCCTCCTCCTCCTCCTCCTCCTCCTCCTCCTCCTCTCCTCCTCCTCCTCCTCCTCCTCCTCCTCCTCCTCCTCCTCCTCCTCCTCCCCCTCCCGCTTCCGCTTCTCTTCCTCCGCCTGTTCAGCCCCTCAATCATCGTTGCAGCCAACAGGTTGCTGTCCGTATCTTGTTACTCGCATGCTCTGCCCCGTGCACTCTGCATTGCACTCTCGCTGCTGCCTGGTCCAGCACATGCTTGCCTTCCTTGGGTTATTCTTCGTTGGTGTATGTGTATGTCACGCTCTGCGTCTACCACCTGGAGCATCACAGTGTACAACCCATTATCGTTGCGACAGACTGTACGCCGCGCCGATATCTTCAAGGAGTTCCAGCGGTTTGACATTGTAGAAAAGCTGCTAAGGAGCATGAGAAGCTGTCAAGGAGCGCCCTACAAACTGCCAGGGAGCGCCTTAAGAACTGCTAAGGAGGGCCTTTTTAAACTTGCAAGGGGCGTCTCCAAAGCTGCCGAGGAACGCCTCACAAACTGCCGAGGAGCGCAGTGAAAACTGCTAAGGAGCGCCGTAAAAGCTGTTACGAAGCGTTTTGCAGCTGCTAAGGAGCGCCTTCAAAGCTGCCAAGGAACGCCTGACATGCTGCAACGGATCGCCTTACACGCTGATGAGGAGCGTTTTACAAGCTGCGGAAGGGCGCCTTAAACGCTGTCATGAAGCGCCTTAGAAGGTGCTAGGGAGCGGTTCAAAAGCTGCCCAGGTGCGCCTTACAAGCTGCTAAGGAGCGCTGTAAAAGCTGTTAAGGAGCGCCTGAACTAGTGATAGGGAACGCTGGCGAAAAGGTTGTAAAACTGCGAAAGCTTCACGATCTTCAGAACCTACAATTGGGAGTGGACCAGTTCACCGGGGATGGACCAGTTTACCAGGGAAAGCATTTTTTCCCAGAGCCCCCCCCCCAGGCCTTCGACGTGTGGAGCACGGAGTCGAGTAGGAGATCAGCTGCAGAATCGCTTAAACCCGAACTTCGTTCTTGTTAGACTCAGCGAGCCAGAAAACATTCCATCGAGGCGAGTCGGAGATCGACTGCAGAGCTGATTTGCCTCAAAACTTGCTCTTCGTGGATTCGGCGAGCAAGAGCTATGATGTTCATTCTGCGTCCGGTCCCCCACTCGACGTGTGCAGCGACTAGTGGCGCAGGTTTTCCTTGAGTTTTGGCCGAGGGCCTTCGGCGACCCACGCCCGCCGTGCGGCCCCGCCTCGCGCCGGACTCGCTCCGCTCCGCCGCGCCACCGGGTTGCTGGCGGAGCAGCGCCTCGTGCGGCCCAGCCCCGGCCTGGCGGGTCGCAGCACCCGTCCTCGGAGCCGGTTTCGCCACGGGCTGGGCCAGCAAGGTCCATGCTGCGTGGAGCCGCTCGTTTGTTGTTCACTTTGTTTTGCCGAGGCGTTCTGTTTAGGCCCGGGCCCGGGACAAGCGCAGTCACCGGGATAGGCTTCAGAGGGCTGTGGGTTGGTGGTGTTGGCAAAGGCGGTGTCGCATGTCTGGGGCAAGACTGGGCGAGCTCTCCGAGCCCCTTGAAGCCGCGGCCAAGAACGCAGCCGGGCCGAAAACAACAAGTACTGAGTTATCGGGGTACGTAGATACTCATTAGTTGTTGCGCAGTGTTTGCCTGTTCTGTACCTCCAGAGGCCTCCTGGGACAACACCATCAGATCGTGGTCCTCCAGCCCACCCAGCAGGTTGCAAAGGTATGACCGGGAGGAGGGATCGACTGTCGAGGCTCGTGCGCGTTTTGATTGCCCTTTTTGGGTATTTGGGGGCATCTGGGGACTTCGGGGAAGAGATCTTGGGAGATCTTCAGGAAACTCGGAATACCTCGGTGGGATCTTCAGAGATCTCGGGAGACCCTCGGGGGGGTCTTGAAACGAGGGCGACTGTTTTGATCGTTGTTGGTCGCATTCGGCTTCCTCTGCCACGCGTCTGGCCCTGGTGGTCAGTCGTCCTGAACGAGGGACGTGTGCGGGCATTGCGGTTGCAGGATGAGAAGGAGGAGGAGGAGAAGGAGGAGGAGGAGGAGGAGGAGGAGGAGGAGGAGGGGGAGGGGTAGGAGGAGGGGGGATGAGGAGGGGGGATGGAGGAGGATGAGGAGGAGGAGGAGGAGGAGGTTGAGGAAGGAGGAGGAAGAGGAGGAGGGAGGCCCCTTGTTCGGCTCATACTTTTGCTGCTGAATGGCGGGGGAAGGGGAAGGGGAGGAGGGAGAGGAGGAGGAGGAGGGAGGAGGAGGAGGAGGAGGAGGGAGGAGGAGGAGGAGAGGAGGAGGAGGAGGAGGAGGAGGAGGAATCTGCTGCCTTCTGCTGCTGCCCCTGCTGCTCATCATCCTCATTCCTCCCCTCCTCCTTCTGCTCCTCCTGCTGCTGCTGCTCCTGCCCCTCCTCTTCCTTCCTCCCTCCTCTCCTTCCTCCTCCTCCTCCCCTCCTCCTCCTCCTCCTCCTCCCTCCTCCTCTCCTCCTTCCTCCTCCTCCTCCTCCTCCTCCCCTCCTCCTCTTATGTGGTCCAAACCTGGATCCTACGATTGTGGCGTTCTAGCCCTCCTCCTCCTCCTCCTCCTCCTCCTACTTCTCTCCTCCTCCTCTCCTCCCTCCTCCTCTCCTCCTTCTTCCTCCTCCCCTCATCCTCCTCCTCGCATGGGTCTCGATGCAACGCAACTTGTGAGTAATTCTATGACGACGTCGACGACGACGACGACGGCGGCGATGGCGACTTTACCATACTTTTCAGGAGGAGGCGCGCGAGGAGCTCGACGAGATCCTCGCCGACCACGCCGCCGCCCAGGCCGTCGCCGCCGCCACCGTCCCCACTGTCGCCTTCGTCATCGTCGTCTTCGTTTTTTGCCGTGGTCGATCTCATCGACAATGTCGCCGTCGTCGTCGTCGTCGATTTCGTTTTCGTCGACGTCGTCCCATACACTTTCGACACGACAAATCCATACTGCCGTTGTTTCCTGCGTTTGGGCGTCTTCGACCCTGAGGACTGTCACACAACGATCTGAGATGAACTCTATCCTGGGGAAGGTCGAGAGGCCTGGGGGTCACGTCACAAACAATCCGCGACATCGGATGCCTGGAGTCGACATCGAGGCTGCAACCGCTCCTCCTCCCCCATTCCCTCCTCTCCCTCCTCTCATCCCCCTCCTCATTCTCGTAGTCCTGCTGCTGCTCTTCCCCCTCCTGTTCCTCCTCCCCCTTCCTCTTCGCTCTCCTCTTCCGCCCCCTCCTGCTTTTCATCGCTTCCTCCTCATCCTCCTCCTCCTTGCTCCCTCTCGTCCTCGTACTCTTCGTCCTTCTCCTCCTCCTCCTCCTCCTCCTCCTACTCCCCCACCTCCTCCTCTTCTTCCTCCTCCTCCACCTCCTCTCCCTCCTTTCTCATCGTCCGTGTCCTCATCCACCTCCACCTCCTCCTCCTCCTCCTCCTCCTCCACCTTCCATCGTCCGTGTCCTCATCCTCGACCTCCCGTTCTCCCTTCGTCCTCCTCTCGTCCTCGTCGTTGTTGCCATCGTCCTCTTTCTCGCCCTCCCCTCGTATCCCTCTTCGCCCTCCTCCTCCTCCTCCTCCTCCTCCTCTTCCTCCTTGCCGCCGCCACCGTCGCCGTCGTCGTCGCCGCCGTCGTCGTCGTCGTCGTCGTCGTGGTGCGGAGGCCATTGGCGAGCCGCCCTGGGCAGAGCTCTTTTCTGGCAGGGTTGTGCAGCTGCTCGCCATCGGGGTGACTCTGCAGCTGCTGCAGCAGCTGGTGGGCATGAATGCCTTCATGTACTTCGGCCTCGCGGACAGGAGGAGGATGATAAGGAGGAGGAGGAGGAGGAGGAGGAGGAGGAGGAGGAGGAGGAGGAGGAGGTGGAAAGCCACGGGCTGAGGAGGGGTGCCCGCCCGCGCGCGCACGGGGCCCGTCGTCGCCCCACTCGTGCAGCGGGCCGCCCCCACGGCCTGGGCTCAGGCGTGCTGCCATTTTGGCGGCCGCGCCTCGGGCTACATTGTCCCCGACTACGAGGCGCCAAGGCGAACCAGCCTGGCATAGGCGTGAGAGAGAGCGCAGAGCACAGGCTCGTGTGCTCCTCCGCCTGGCAGCTGCGAAGCAGTGCCTAGAGGGACATCACAGTGCCCAGCAGCAGCAACAGCAGCAGCAGCAGCCCAGCACCAGCAGCACCAGCAGCTACAATATGACGGGTCGGGTCTGCATCCAGTGCTCCACCAAGAATGGAGCGACTTTCTGGTTCTGCAAGCAGTGTGGCAAGGCATACGGTAAGTATCTCAATACGAAGCAGCGGCAGTCATCTCGGCAGTCCTCAAGGCATTCTGACAGGAGGAACGGCCAGGATAAGAGAGAACGATCGACGAGCAGAAAACGCATCGTGGGCCCTATCAGGAAGACGATCAACGAGATCGGCCCAATGCACACTGCACTGGCAAAAGTATCCGACAGCTGGGTAGACCCTCCAAGCACGTCGGACCCTGACCAAGTCAGCCTCTTCCAGAAGAAGCAGTGGAAGCGGATCTACCAGCTGGGCGAACTCATCAACTCATTGAGGGCTGCTGGCAAGTCGACAGCTATCGAAACGTCGGAGGTGTCTGTGCTGAAGGCTGGAATCCTTGCCTTACTACTTGTGGCCAGGCAGGACAAGTCTCTCAGCAAACGAGCGAACAGTGTTCACGAAAAGCTGTCCAAGGTTGAGAAGCAGTTGGCTGAGTTGGTCAATACTCGTGAGGACCTATTCAAACAGTTGGCAGAAGTGAAAGAGCAGCTCAAGACGCTTGGCACAAAGCGCGATCGTCATCTCAGCGAGGACATGGACACGCACATGGACGTTGACCAGACAGCAGGTGCCTGCCCCCCGCCGCCACCGCCGCCAACGGCGAGGCCCAGGGTCACCCCTGCGGCCCCAGCGGCCTGCCCGCCTAAGGCAGGGGGCAACCCTCCGCCGCCGCCGCCCCCTGTCGGACAACCAATGAAGGCCGAGGAAAAGATGCCCCAGTCAGATGCTCTCACGAAGATCACGGCCTCGCTGCAGCAGATCTTAGACCAACAGAAGCAGCAGGCCTCATAACTCAGAGTTGTCCAAGAGGGGTCGCGAATGCAGTCCACCAAGCTTCAGTTCTTATACGTCCAGTTTGCCAAGGGTGAGCAGGAAATACCGCAGACGCAGTCCACGCCACCATGCGTTCCCCAGCAACAGCATCCTGGTGCCGCACAACAGCAGGTATTTGGGCGTGAGCAGTCTTCTCCTGTGGTGATCAACTCGCAGACTCAAGGTGCCAGCCCACACGTCGTTCCTTCACAGGCAATTCAGCATGCAGGGTGTGGGATCGCGAGGCCAGCATCATACAGTTCGCAGATTGAACCCACGGAGCCTTTCGATTCACTGGAGTATTACCAGCAGGTTATCAAGCGCCAGCAGGACGAAGCACAAGCAGAACTGGAGCAACGTATTATCGATCAGCAAGCCGAGGCCTGCGATTACCAAGTGAATGGCAATACTATCAGCAGCGATGGCTACCAATCGAATTTGGATTTTGAATTTGAGCAGGAGTGGAAGGAAAAGGAGATCGACAAGCTTGAGGAGAAACGGGTATTGGAGGAACAAGCCGACCAGTACCAGAAGCAGATTGATGCCGAGGCAGCGGCAGCAGTCGCGCCCGTGCCGCCGCCCCCTCCGCCGCCTCCGCCTAAGTTCCAGCTTCAGCTTCGTCTTCGCATTGGTGGTCATCATCCTCATCTGGGATCCCAGGTACTTCGCAGCATCACGGCCCAGCACACTTTGACCTGACCAAGTGTGATGCTAAGACGGAGGGGCGCAAAGGTTCTTCTACGAGAAGTAGGTCGGATGAAGATCGGGCGGAGCGCATCCGCCGTGGCAAGCCAGGGGGGCCTGGGCAACTCTGAGGCGGTGCGCAAGGAGGCGGGGTTTCATATACCCCCAGTGGCTCCCGCAGGGAGGGGGGCCTAACGTTTAGCAATTTCAGTGGCGTGCAGCGGCGTAGGGCAGTGCGTTTTGCCCGTGCGATCGAGCTGCGCACGTACGTCGACGCGAATGGGGTCTCCGTTGGCGGTAGTTTACACAGCGCAAGTCACCATGTAGCAGCGGGTGGTGATGCTAGTACTGACCGCTCTGGACATGCACTTACATCGAGTACCGGATGTACTATGGCCCCTGACGGCACGCGCTGCTCAGCACCAGAGGCTGCCAGAGAGTACATACCGCCGAATAGCCCACGCGCTCTCGGTGGCACGCACTGCTCAGCAGCCAACGTGGGCGCCCGAGAGTACCGTCCGTCGGGGCAGCCACAGCGCCGCCAAGAGGCTTTGGGGTGCAACGCTATGCCATCCGCCCCTCCTCAAGCGCCATCGGGCGAAACGAGGGGGCCGTTTACCCTAGATGTATTCAACTGCATGTTTGGCACAAGTGCTACGAACATGAATTCTTTTGCTGTCGGTGATGTGGCTTCGTGTGCACCTGCCCAAAGGCAGCATTATCCTGGTTCTGCGCCCAACGACTACAACCAGTCCGAGGACCATGCAGTTATTCAGACAGGGTACCCTACAATTTGCAAGTTTCAGCATGTTCCTATTATTCCTGAGCTAGTTTGTCAAATACAGTGGCGGATTGAGCTCTCATGGGACTATCGCGGGATGCAGTTGCGCCCCTTTGCTGATCTTGCTCTTCGCATGCACCCGCCTCGTCCAAGTACGGGTACCGCCATGCACCATGTATATGCCGATGCGTCTCTTCACCTCGCCTCCCCCGAGCTGGTGGCGTTCGCGCTGGCCCATGACATGCAGGACCCTCTGGGATTTGCGTGCCTGGGCTGTGTGGCTGCGCGGGCCGCGTCAGCACGCTCTATCTCCGACATGAATGGCGCCTCCCACAGCACCGAGGTTGAGTTACTTGGTGCGATGTGGGCAGCTATATACGCACAACATCTTCCATGGGAGGAGCAGGTCTACATCGTTTGCGACACTCTGGCGGCGGTGGACAAAGCTTCGAATCGTGTTAGGCTAGTTTCTGATCTGGATAAGTTGGCGGCTACTGTGCTCAAGGATGTGCAGCGCGTGCGCCCCATCAAGGTCATACAGGAGCCTGGCCATCAGGGTTTTCCACGGAATGAAGCAGTTGGCTCTATTTCGCGACACCTCACACAGGAATCCAATGTACCACCAGCTCTACCTGAAGGACCTGTGAGAGTATTATCATACACGGTATACACAGAGTGGCAGTTTGCGAGATTGTTGGGTCCAAGTACTTCACCCTGCCCTCGTTTCATCAATGACGGCTTTCGTTTCAATGTTTCAAAGCAGAAGGTTGCATTGCACAAGGATGCCGGCCAAAGAGAGCTGGCTGTTTCGCGGGCTCCCACCAAGACAAACTACAAAGCGGCTACCTTCAACAATGTGAGCATTTGTGCTGGCGAGGACACCGCAGGAACATATCGTGCACACAATATGACCAGATTTCAGGGTCAACGTGCTCGTGCGCAGCACCTGCGGCTCCAATTGAAAGACGAGGCGGCACTATTGGCAGGTTTTCAGGAATCTTCGTACCCCAAGGGGGAGTTCGAGACCGACGGCTTCCTGGCTATCAACACTGGCTCGGAGTCAAAAGGGCTGGGCTGCACATTATTGATCAACCTCGAGCTACCATGTGCCAAAGGTCAAAAGGGGCCTATTACAATTCTATCTCGACTTGTTCACGTCTTACATGCAGTGGAGAGGTTCTTGTTGGTTAAACTGAAGGCTCCCATGCTGGAGCATGCGATTGCTGTTCTCCATGCACCTCATCACAAACGCGGTGTTCTCGCCCCTCCTTCTCATGTGGGTCAATGGTGGAGAGAAGTACGTGACATTTTTGACAAGTACCCACCATCGGTTATTCTTACGGATGCCAATGCACGAATGGGAAGAGAGAGCACAAGTGTATCAGGGCATGTTGGGCCACAGGACCCAACGGACTACAATGGACTGGAGCTCCAGAAGTTGGCCAACCAGTGCGACCTTATGACCACCAGCACCTTTATCCCTCACAGCCACCCCCACACGTTTCGTGCAAAGTGCGGCACATTGCATCGGCTAGACTACATATTCCTACACAGAGCAGTCCACGATTGCGTATCGTTATGCTACGTCATGAATGACCTAGGCTCCGCCACCAAGTCACCTGACCATTGGCCCTTGATCGTCTCCATCGCTGCAGCTAAGCTTTATGTTTCTCCTGAGCCTGGTCGACCCAAGCTGGATGGGCATAAGTTGGCCGACCCAGTCAAGCAGGAGAAGCTCCAACGTATGCTGCGGGATCTACCAGTTGCCAATTGGGACACATACATCAATTGCCAAGTGGACGACTTCAATGATGGTGTTGCCAGTGGCACTCGCGAGCTTTTTGCTGAGGACAAGTTCTCCCCGAGGAAGCCTTACATCAATACATGTACTGTGGCACTTATCAGGCTTCGCAGGTATGTCAGGCGTGCCCAGCGTGCACCGCTTGGTCACTCGTGGGGGCTTATCTTTCTGCTGGCGCGCCTACTCCCCAAACAGCTGGGGTCTTTCGAGTACTTAGCGAACGACAGCGACAGGAAACTACCGCATGTGCCATGCCCGTGGGCCAAGCACATGAATCTGCTTAGCATGGCATGTGACTTGTTCCAGGCGGAGGAGCTGTCTGTCGAGGGGCTGCTTGGGGCAGCTGGCATCTTCATGAAGGAGACATCCTCTATATTATCCTGGTGCCTGGGGCGTGACAAGAAGGATTTCCTTTTTCAGATGGCGAAG